TTAACTCCTTGATTACCGGAACGTTGTTATCACTATCGCAGGTAGCATAGACGTCTTCTCCTGTAGATTTGAAGATGAGCATCTTTCCAAAATTATGGTATTCACTTATAAGATCATATGTATTAATGTCCCATTTCGTTTCACCGACTGCATCGACAATCATTACATGTTTGTTCCCAATCCACACTAACTGCCTCACTGATTACTACGATTGCCTAAATGTTCTTTTGGGGCCATCGAATCCGAGAATAAGGTGCCATCTTCACATAAAAAGATAACAAGCCTTTCGGTTGGAGTCCAGGTTGCAAGCATTTTTCTGTTAGGAGAATGGGCAAAGATGGTTTGCATTGCATCGACGTCTACAAAATGACTGCTTTGACAACGGGTCAACAGCTTGCATTCTGGTATAGACCAAAATGACAAGACGTTCCACTAGAAATAATGTGACTGGAAGTAAATACATTCGTGCAAACTATAAATACACCAACGCTGTAACTTACTTTTTCGATGCTCACAAAAAGCTCACCGTGTAGTAAACTTTTTACTGATTTAACTAAACTAGAGCAGTCGTGCTGAACCCGATCGACTATGTTGACCGGGCGAAGTACGACGAGTATAATAATAATCTAACCTTGCAGGAAGATATAACGGGAATTATTATTAAGAATATATTGATTAGGAATATAAAAATTTATTTGATTTTGTTTTTACGTTACGAAATACAGAACATCAAGATACCGTATAATCAGTTCACGTGGTAAATGTTTAGCTCTTCGATTACTATGTTAAGATTGTCCCACGTTGGACAGCAACAGATAATACGTAAGCTTGGCCTGCTGCATAGAAATAAGATGTGTAAGTAGCGAGATACCTAGCAGTGTATTATTCCATTTTGGACACAAAATACTGCTTGAACGGATAGTGTCTCTTTGTCAAATCCATAACAATTCCGATTGTTTCATTGCAGATACCCTTTTCTATCGAGGAATTATTTAAGAATATTACTCTCGCTCCCCATTATATACGTAATGAAAGAGGTAAGTTTAAAGTCAGACTGCGTTATTTCAGTCGGCCGTTGATGTAATCAAGTGCCTCACAATCATAAATTTGTCATTCTCTGCAGACAATGCATTATTATGGTACGATTTAGTTGATCAGCCGTCTGCTTATAATATACGATATTTATTGCCTGGATAAAGACTAGTGCAGAAAACTGACCAATCGTTGCCATCAAATACGCTAAGCCACCGAGGAAATTGTGGAGACAAAATTATATTATCGTTAACCTACCGATTAAATTCGATAATGTCAGACATATTAAAGTTGTTAACTAAGCACTATCTAGAGTGCTATTGATGCTTTATTCTGGATTGGAATATGATCGACTTATGGTTTGATAAGGACGTATTATACAAAGTCTTGTGAGAAAACGATTAAGTTGTGTAGATATTGATTGCGTATCAAGTAGTAGGCTTTCGTTGATTTGAAACAAATGTTTGAGGACATCATATCTCGTCGACTACCTTTCTCCGCACACATATAACGATATGCAAGCCAAAAGTCTTAAATGCATAATGTCAGCGCCTGCTTATATGATGTGAGTGATAGTATTGTCGCATCTAATAAAAATTGCAAAATTTTTCTTTGTTAAAGTCTTTACGTCAGAAATGAGTAGGTTGTATTAAACGTGCATTACTAGTATTAATGCTTAATTGCTCACACATAATCAAAATTTAAATTTTATAGTAAATTGTTTGACTAGAAAATTTCCGTGCAAAAAGTCAACCTTTATTTCCGGGACTGTAATGCTAAAAATTTATTAATTCAACCGATGCGATCAATTTGTACTTTACATTAATGTATGTATTTATAATCTACAGTTGTAAATTGTATAATAAAACTAACTTGCTCGTGACAAACTTTTACTTATAATAAAAAGTCAATTATATCGAGCAGTTTTACTATTACGTCACGCGTTAGATAAGTACAGTTTGTCTACTTAAATTATAAACTATTTCACAGCTGTTATTAATTAGTTTACAGTGAGTCCCGTATACACAATCATTTTAGCTATTATAATAAAACTCCATTCATTTTGTTAATACACGCTCTCTTCACAATTTTGGTTATACAATTTTAAATTACTCTACCCACGAATTGATTTTTTGTCAGGGAATCCATAATTTATCTAGTACAAAATCGACGTTCATACATACTTGCTAAACTCACGAGTTTACTACCCTAATTAATAATAAACTGACTTTATTCCTAATCTTTAAGCAAAAATGCTTGTAGCCGTCTCCTATATAATCTACGGCGATGGTGGTCGTTATAATAGGAGGAACAAAGGTTTTTCTTTCCCTGTGTAAAAAGCCAATTATTGTTTTATGTTGTCGAGCAAATATGTCTTCAAATCAATTTTTCTGACAAATTAAATAATCCCTAAATCCTTTCGCTCTTATAATAGTTCTTTCTAATAGTAATGGAATGTTGGGTCGAGCTCGTTTATTAATAGCATTTTTGCCTAGAATGAACTAAACAAAAGGCTACTGAAAAGTAAACGTTAGTCTTTCATATCCGTACAAATTTATATAATGGATTAGCACACACATTATGCGTAGAAATGCTTAGATGTAATTAATACTCATTAGCAGCCTTTACTACGAAACAGTTTGAGCGTAGTTGAAATATAATATTTTGGTTGTTGTAAACCATAGTACTGGTTGTATCCGCTGAATCTATTTCCGCTTTTAATACTGTAGCTTTGTGTATAAAGTGTTCGAATTAAGTGCCTATATTATGTTATCATTTGCTCCTGCATTTTACTATAAAATCATGGACTTTTATCACACCAATATGTAACAACTACAGAGTTGTTTATTGGATTAATGACCCAAGTCTGCGAAATTAAAATTTTTTGCAAACCAATTTTATCCCCCATATTTTATCTGCAATGCCTTATACTGCGAACAATTTACTTTATAAAGTATACTGGGAAAGATCAACTTTATTTTACCGATGTATTACTGGTAAATCGGTTTGTTTAGAGAAAACAAGAGCAACTTGTAAATGATATGGTTTATAATCCAATTACCTTAGTCAAGCTTATATGTTATCTGGTCAAATACTTAACGTTCATTGGTCACGGAACAAAGTTTACATTTGTAAGTGAAGGCGTTCTTTTGTTTATAAGCAACATCACATTGGTCAATGAAAGGTAAACATTACACTTGGTCAACAAACAAGAATTCCACTGTTTCTATTTATACTCGTTAGCTTAGTGTTAGTTATTGGCACTTGCCTATTGAAAGATCACATACTTGCATCTTCGTGCTTGAATAACCATAATAAAGAAGAACCTCTTAAATGTTTCAAAAGTACTGTTAAAGAGGGTGTTTGTTACCGACACTTTTGATCATCTTGATCAATATGACCGATTGCATAGAATAATATGTACATGACCAGACGTAAACTGCTGGTATACTAATATATATAACAATGTGCTTGTAAATGACATGTCTACACTATACAGTACATGCATATATGTTCGATATTGTGCACGTTTACATACACGTATCTGGTAACAATACACTTTTTAGCGATGATGCAAGCCTTGTAAACGTTAAAAGTACATACATTTCTCTATGCGAACAAAGGCAACTTTATTATTTGAAAGCATGCATGGGGACGGTATGCAAAGTTTCAAATGACATCATATAACGATTCGACAACCATTGAAAAAGTCGGATATTACTTGCATCAAACCGTGTGTTATCCATCAGTAGTAACGCCCATGAATATCAGAGTTGGAGTTGTGTCAACGTTAAAACAGATTGTTTTGCTAGTGTCACTCTCTCCGTGCGTTTCAGCGCGCAAGTCTTCTTTTGCATATTCCACTTGGAAATTTTAGACATTCTCGAATTCTTACATTTCCATTGTGCTGTACCGGGGATTTGGCATGCAAGGCTACCGTTTTATGCATAAACGTAATTTAGGAAACATAGGTTGTCCATCACCAATTATGCCGTCAGCTTGCATAAGTTTTATCAATAGAATTGTGATACGGACATTATATGGTTTTCCTATTTAGCATATTCGTTGTTTAAGATTGCTTTATGCTCATTGGTTCTCATTCGACGAACAAGGCAAAAAGTATAGTATACCATACGTCATAGAGTTTCAAGCTTATATTGACGGAAAAGGAAGGCAGTATCAATATAGTTTGAGGCAAACTATGTCCCCTGCAGACGATGAAAATTTTCATTGGGTGCCACAGTGGGGCACGACATTTAGTTGTCAGCCATATATCAAAATGGAAATTTACAACGTCAATGACAAATAAGGTATGTACAATCAGAGAGATTTGCGTTCTTATTTTTATTGTGTCCTACTACTCATACTGTATCTAATCTTCATAAAATTTGGAATATTACTTCTTTTTTTTTGTTTTACATAAACCTTAGAGAAAACTTATTGGGAATGTGGTAGTATGGAAAGGGGAGTTTATTCTGTTGTACAGTATTGAAGAAGCGGTTCGAAATTAAGTAAAGATATACTTTTGGGTGTAATAATCGAATGTTGAAAAGAAAAAGAAAAGGTTAAGAATCTTGATAGATAGTGCGTTGAAAAAGGTTTGCGATAATAATAAAATGTTGCGCTAATAAATAAATAAATACAATCTAATACTAATAAATACATATATAATAATATTGTCCGATACCCGTCCCATTTACAATGATAATATAAATACAAAAAATAAGTTATAATAAATTGTTTGTTAATAATGTTTTCCATCTCCCTGTTTCTGAAGCTCTTTGTTTTTTATCTCTCGCCAAACTCGCCACTATCATAAGCATAACAGCCCCGCATTGTCCCAAATTCGGTCTCGCCTTGCACAATTGTGTTGTTGTTGTTGTTGTTGTTGTATACGTCTTCATTGTACTGACAATCGCCATATTGATGGACGTCATATGTGCTTTCATTGTATGCATTGTTTCCCACGTTGATTGTCCGCTCCGGATACGTCGTATATTGATTAATGCCTTCGTCATACTCCGTATTCACATTCAATGGCAAATCCAGCAGAGTATTGTCAAAGGTACCATATAACGAAGATTCGAATTCAGGAGCTGTTAAAGATTGGTACTGGATGGTGTTGCACACGGATCCATTAAAAGGAAACGGCATGCAAGTTTCTGCAGTGGGCGTAATGGGCAAATCATTCTGGAAAAGCAGTGGTATCTGAGTTGGCTGAAAGAGTGAAAAGGAATTGACCAATGACGTATCGGCAATTGTAGTAGCATCATCAGTTGGAGAAACGTTCTCATCGACATTGTTGTCATCAAGGAAATAACTAGCATAGTCGATGTTGTATTCTGAGCCTGGCCACCATCCATCACTGTCATCGCTGATATCACATACGTTTTCATCACTCAAATCACTGATATCCCAAGTAGTTTCGTCAAGTAGGCGGTTGGCAGCAACGGTATAAGCAGCAGCAGAAGGAGTAAAAGTAAGGGCAGTAGGCATTGTGGATACGTTTGTTCTTGGGTAACATGTTAATTTGGCATTTCGCTTTGCGGAATTATCACAATCAGGATATACGGTATTACAGCAGACTTTGGCAGGAGAGTCAACGACAGGATTTGTGGTTGCTGTATCACTAGCACTCGAAATACTAATTTTAGCACTGGTAGCAGGTCTTTTGCGTTCGTGTGACAATTCATTGTTCTCAAGTTCCATTTTTCTCCTTGCAATGCTCCTTTTACCACTTTTGGGACAATACTTGTATTCTGGGAAAAGCTCTTTATGGATAGAATATGCAGCTTTGCTCAACTCAAGAAAGAAATTCTTTACACTTTGCGTTTCCTTTGCCCACTCTTTACTAGCGGTCGAGGAAATTTCACTGAAAAAGCCGGACGCATTTTTTGGACTGAGCTTACTAGAATCCTCTGCCGTATTTCCTAATTTATTTTCTCTTTCTAACAATAGTCGAGCTTGCACGTCTTTACGGTACAGCACAAAGGCATTTTGAGGCCTACTTATCCCTCGACAACCTCTCTTCTTTTTGCCTCCCAACAGTAATTCTTCCAAGGGCAGTGTGGTTGACACTATAGCGTATTTTTTCTCGATATTGGATAGGTGTTTGCGAATAACAGCCCGCGTTGCTTCTCTGAATTCTTTTGTATCGAGACGATTTTGTGTACGTGGTTGACGAGTCCTCGATCGGCGTGATGCTGTTGCTTTTGCTGTCGTCATTGTTGTTGTTGTCGTTGTTGTTGTTGTTGTCGCTGTCGTCATGGGACGGGGCATTTTCGAATTTCAAGTGAAAATAGCAAGTGTGATAAACACAGAATGTAAACTAGTCTCTGCTCGTCAAAAATGGGTTGTATTTGGATAGATGATCCTTTCAGAACAGCTAGAACCTAACCAATGTGGCTCACTTTTTGTGGCAATTGGATGATTAGCCACGGTGGAAAGCGGTCCCATATTTATATATAATTCAATGTACTACGCTAAGCTTGGCAGGTTTCATCTGCAGAATCATGGTTATAGTAACAGAAGGTAGTACAATAAGAAAATTACAAGATTCGATTAAAGTTCATAATGACAATCGACAATGGAAGACTGGGCTCGTATTAGAGGACTGTTCATACAACGTCATTCAGCGATGATTTGTTATTGTATATGTGAATATATATAGTGACAAATGATTATATCTATTCAGTTCGGTTGTAAGGCAACAAAGGATTAGTTCATTATCCTGGTTCGTCTTAGCCAATAATGTATTATGACTCATACTTACGGTGCACAACATATTCGGGCTTGCATATCATTTCCCCGACTATGCAAAAAAAATATGCCACTTTAAATTATTGTACGACATCGGAGTGCAATCTCATTTCCTCTAAGTATTGTTTCATCGACGGAGCATATAGAACAGAAATTGGGGTATTATATTTAGATATGCAGTGTTCGAAACTGCCAGCCCTCTGGCTTAAAATTTCGCCAACTAAATACCATGTGTAATTGTTATATCGGTAACCACGTTTATTTTTGATGCTATCGATCTTACATATTCTACAATATACGCCCTATTCTTCGCTAAAAGCCCATGTGCAAATGACGTCAAGCATTTTGCAGCAGGCCCTACATATAATATGTGTCTTGTAAATCGATATACCAATGATATATATAGGTTGATAATTGAACGCTTCGAAAGTTCCGAGTTGTTCTCGCGAACTGCAATATAATCAATCATATGACTTATATTTCGGTTTCCTTCTCTAAATTTAGAAAAATAGTCATGTGCTTGACTACTGCTTAGACACTGGTTTGAGTAAGGCATATAGACAAATAACGTCAATAAATTCGATCACCAGTCATTCGTATGCTTTGTGTTCAAAGTGTATGTGCTATATCGCTGTCAATAGATTAAAACCATCGTTATCCCAAAGTAAATCCTAGTCATTCCTATGTTAACATAAAATATTAAGTAAATGTTTTAATAATTACAGCTATAAACTTATTGTTTTTAAGTTTGAAGAATGTTATGCAGGGGAGGAGGAACAAAAATGTTCATTTGATTGCTATTATTACTGCAGGAGGTAATGTAAGAGATAATTTTGGCTGGGGCTATACCATATATCTGATATAGAAAGTCTTAAAAACTGTCAAACTAATTTTCCTTAAAATAGAACTGGGTATACGTCATGTGGAACGTTTCAGATAGCAAATATGGTTGGATTTTCATAGACAGTCATAGACTGTCACATGCATGCTCATTCCCTAAACGTTTAAAGCATTATTTCAAGCAAATTTAGCATTATCTATACTACCGCATATCAAACCACAAAATCAAATTACATTGACTTGGAGTATAACAAGTAACGAAATCATGGATTCACTAACACAGTCATTTGTCGATAAAATCGCTTTTTGCCAGCAAATGAGATGACAACCGGCAGAAAAGGAAATGTCTGTAACGAATTAACTCATACATATTGAAAAAGTGTTTTTATGAAAGCATTTGTTTAGTAACAGAACGCTTATTATTATTATATAATAATTCGACACTTATGTCTATTTATTTCACATAGCATATTTCCACTATTGAGAAATAAATTATTTTTCTATTTCGAGTAAAAAAAAAAGCCTATGTCTTGCATGTCATATTTACTTATTTGTAAAACTTAATCGTATTCACATTATAGTTATACAGACAATACATTTATCAATATCATAGTAAAAGCTAACGGGTCGGATAACACAAGTTTATATAATTAATAATAGCATGTCTTATAACTATCTAGAGCGCACGTGAGGTTAACCAATTAGAAAGCGTTTCTTAAACAACTATAACAACCGTAAACGTTTTACAGACAAGAGTGAAATTAACCATGGTTGCTATAACTTCTTATGTTAACCTAGTTAGTAAACACGTGTGTAAAAGTCTTTTAAAGTTTACCTATTCGCTGCGGCTTTATATACTGTCAGTTAAAAGACGAGGGTTCTTGTGCGCGTGCAACCCAATCTAGATCAACAAGATTGATTATCGACCGATTGACATTTGAAGTAATTTTGCCACTATAATAAAAAAAAATAATGACAGAATTACAATTCCATTCAAAAAAGAGACAATATTTGATTGCCGATAAACGCCCACCCCACTGTTTCTCCTAGCTCTTTGTGGCTTTAACGAGCATTCAAAAACAATTCAATGCTTTAATAGTTTACACCCGACGTTTTACATTCTTACGATGTGCCAATGTTATTCATTGTAAGCTGCTTGTTCCTGCATAAACTCGGCCGATTGCCAAACAGTAGCTTTTCTGAACATAACTGCGTCCATGCAAAGTTTTTATTTAAAGTATGTGTCCCAATCAATCGACATCCTAAATAAGCATATGCATGATCTTGTTATATGACTGATTTGTACGGTAATGGTGCCTAAAATGTCTTTTTTGCATCCACATGCAAAAGACGGCATACTAATATGTGCAATAAGGATGTCGTATCGAATGTCTTTTGTAACACACATGCCATCTTCAGCAGTGTTTTTGGTTCGGTTCAAATGTATATGCCAGGAATTGCAAACGAGAACAAGTTGATGTAGCTTAATCATGTGAATAAGGTTACAAGGTTGCAGCGTGTCAAGCAGCTTATGTAGTATACCATAGTATGCTCTTCTCTGTCATGCCAAGTTGTCTGTTCGATCGTTTCTTGCTAAAATTTTTGAATTCAGAGAAAATACTTGTTCTCTTCGTTGTAAACAAAAGCATCGCACTTTCCTAATTGCTCATTTCAAAGAGAACGTATGTCCTTGTATTCGCATTAAGAATGGAATCGTAAATGATGCCCATCATTTAGAGTGACGGATTTAGTTGCAATCGATTATCCTTTCCATTATCACTGGTTGTTTACATTCTTTATTGAAGGATTGTCATCGGGTTGGGGGGACTTAGCCAAACTGCTGTCCCGTGTTTCAGCCTTTGCGTTTTTATCACCGAACACGGCAGATCTTAATATTGATACCAGGTACTCGGATGAAAAATGGCTACTATTTTAATTGATATGGAGTTGTTTCATCGTGATACACAAAAGCGTCAGCTTGCATATGATTATTCCAATAAGCTGTAGTACAGCCGCGGGGTATGATTACAACCTGTTTATCGACTTGATTGGGAACACATCACGTCATTTGCACATCGAGCGTTTCGAATGCGTTTGTTATCTAAAAAGGCAAGGCCTATATCCAAGATGAATAAACTCCCCCACTCTGTGCAACAAAATCTGGCCAATCTCATCAAGACACGAACCAACAATTCTAACGTTCGAATAAAGAAGAATCGTTTCGTAAGAATTCATCAGCCGAACCAATAATGAATAGATTGTTGGTTCAATCATTGTTATATTTGCTACTGTCTACGTATATCATCTATTTTACATCAGCAAAGCTTGCTGCTGTGCTTCGATATGTAACAATTGTCATTTGGCATTATTACCTACTTGACGCGGTAAGGATAACAAAACCCGGTCCATTCACTGACAAAAAGGCTCTTACATTGCTATATTCAAGATGGTGACCCCAACAATCAATCATTCCCATTCTCTGCTTTGTCCATGTGCTCTTTTTTTGGCAGCGAATAAATAAATTAATAAACTCTCCACTATTGACGTACTTGCAAAACAAAAAGCAAGAGATTATATTAACAGTTAACGAACCTCAAGAAAATAAACAGTCGACTAGTGAAAAGTTGTATCTAAAACATCGCACTGATTAAATATTGACGTGACTACTTTGATCCAGTATTAGCCCCCCAAATTGCAGTAACAGCAGCATCATAAACAGCTTACACAAGCGGAGACTTGTAATAACAGTACTGATAACCACTAAAAGGGAGTTGAGCAAATGACTGTCAAAGCTGTTGTATCGAAAACAAAGTTTGGACCTTTATTACACCATGAGAAAGAAAGAATTTAATGCGATTAAAAAAGTACGTATACAGTTGACACTGTTTATACCGAACTGCCCGGCTGAAGAGTTTTCGTTCGTTATAACCGGAGATTCGTTATATCCAGAGTTCGCTATTACCAGAGATTCGTTATATCCAGAGTTCGGTATAAACAAGTTCGGTATAAACAGTGCCAACTGTATATAGCAACAATCAGTTGTTTGTTCTATGAGAAGTTGTGTTTATTATTATACTTTATTTACTAAACAACAGTGCGCTTACTTTATCCCTAAAAATTTGGCATGTGAAAACAAGATTATAGTAATTACAGTGATTACAGCCATGTGACATACGAACATACAATAATAATACATTTTATGTCGACACTGACATACAAACTCGCAATGATTTATTTGAACTTAGATAACGAGTTTTATTTACTTTGTGCTCCACTTGCAATAGTAACAAAAGACTCGACAAACGTGAAGATCAAAAGAAGGCATATATATTCTACGAAGATAGCGTCTGCTGATGAGTGCTTGTCATCTGTAGACAAGGAATCCTTTAACCTCGAAGTAAAGTTTCTTGTTACCCCACATACAAGTATCCATATCTACGAGAGAGCGTTCATGCAATCTTATCCCTTTCTTCCATAGAATTCCGCAATATTCGATGAGCACCCGCCACAGTGTTGGAATCGATACTCGCTATATTGCTTCCATTTCCACAACAAATTCATCCAAAAACCAGTCTACTCTTTCCTCTACCAATTCCGTTATCGAGTATGTATTAAGTTTTATGGAAATAAGGAACAACCCAACAAAATCTGCCAAAGACCTTTATGTCCCTGTCTTTGAA